AACACAAGATAAAGATGGTGGAAATCGAAATATTCCTTCTTATAGCTCTCCCACAAAGAGTCAATGTTTTGAATAACTAAAACGATTATAAAATCCGAAATAAGCATCCGGTTATCTTTAAATTACACATATCATAATATCATCATTAACCCAAGGTATGGTGTGAAATTGGAATATATCGATCCACTCCTTCTGGTACCTCCCCCACAAAAGGGTCTACATTTTGAATATCCATGAATCTTATAAAACGCATGACTAACGTCCTATTCCATTCAGACTTGCTATTTCCATCAACACAAGATCTGTTGTAAAGATAGCCGAGACCATTCCTTCTGATACCTCCCCCACAAGGGTTAAATGTTTTGAATAACCAAAACGTTTATAAAATCCGAAATAAGCATTCGGTTCTCTCCTATTTCACACATCCAAATATTTCTAATAACACAGTATCTTCCATGAAGATGGAATATATCAGTCCAATCCTTCCGGTGTCCCCATCCCCATTGCATTGTGAGTCCTTAAAATGAAATGGTCCTTTAAACATTTAATTATGTAACCTCGATTGCAGCTCAAATGGCCCCTTAGAAAAAAATCTGGGATTACATATTGATTAAGATCTAAAAATTTTTCTCAAAAAAAATTTATTATTATTATTATTATTATTAAACAAGTAAAAAAGCAGGTAGGCCCTCGCCTAACTTTTAATACCATTTTAAAGGAACTTGAAAATATTCTAAAAAAATCCGTAGAAAAATAACTTTCAAATGAAAATCCTTATATGGGGCCCATACGAAGACGTGGACCTGCATAGGCAATGTCTGGCATAGGCTGTAGTACTCATTACGAACTTCAACTACGAAATTTCGAAACAATTCTAGTGAATAATGTCGGTTAAATCATCAAAATACCGAATATCGGGAGGTATCGTTATATGGGGGCTATATGAAGACGTGAACCGCGATTTTTTTATCAAAGGCTGTAGTACCTTTTACGAATAAATAGGAAATTTTAAACAACTCCGGTAACAAATATCTCTAAAATCATCAAAATACCGAATATTGGAAGGTTCCGTTATATATATGGTCTATATGAAAACCTGGACCTGGACCGACATGGTCTACACGTGTGCAAATGTTAATAAACTTTTTTTTGTAAAATCAAGAATGATAAAATTTACCACCATGTCCAAAAATTTCACCTCGACACCAAAAGGCTAAAAAATCTCAAATCACGATTATAGCTTTATTAGTCCTTGAAAAATTACAGATTGTATCTCAAATGCAATGATTTCAATTTTTTTCCAAATAAAATACTATACTTAATTTTACCTTTTTGCAATCGACCGGCCTTTTATGCTAGAAATGTCAAAATTATGTAAAAGAAAAAACAACAACAACAAAACAAAAATACAATGATAATACAACAAAGGCCATCGCCAACCATATCCATTGCTTGTTTTTGTTTTGTATTCCATAATATTTTCGTCCGGTTTCTAGAAGTTTTCCAATTTGGTTGGCTTGTGGCACTGTTTCGTCGTTCTACCGCCATTGCAACAACAACAACGACAACAAACATGCATATCGTGTTTGTTCGTACCCACATTGGAAACTTTGACCGGTTTTCTGTGCAGAATACTACTTTGGGTTGCAGCTCAAAGCTTTTTTTCCAATGCAGCTGCAAATTTGAGGTGCTGCTGCAGCAGCAGTTGTGGCAGTCGCATCAGTAGTTGTAGTAGTAGTTTAATGCACAAAAGCTCTCTTGTTGGGGTTCAATGTTCTCTTTTGGTTGGTTGGTTAAGAAAAAAGCTCGTCCGCCATCCATCCATGCATCTGCCCGACCAACCCCACTGCTGCGACCGCTATTTGCTTCTTTAGGTCATTGCAGTTTAATGAACTCTTGGTAGGTAGCAGCGGCAGCCTAATAGTAGTTGTAGTTGCCGCATACTATTATGTTCTAGTTGCTCGTCTCGTCTCGCCTCCTCTCCTTTTCCCTTGGTCCATCAAAAATCTAGGCTGCTTTTCATGCAGTGTGAAAGTGAAATATGTATGAAAAGCGGCAGCAGCGACGGCGGCGAACAGGACCTTTTTATTATTTGTTTGGAAAGTGAAAGTGAAATTTAAATCGATAAAATTCTAGAAAAAGTTTCCTGACAAGGATTGTGAATGCAGAATGAGAATGTAGCACAGATTGCAATAAAGAGGGGAGACAAAAAAAAAAAGAATTCAATATTAATTCAAATTTATTGTTTGTTTTTGTTGAAGGTTTTTTCTTTCTCATTTAAGGCAACATATGGAAGGAGTGTGGTGGCATATCAAATATATGGAATAATATAAAATAATTGGGTCGGATTCTGATATAAGGTGTATTATACCTTTCATAGAAGACTAATGGGTATTTTTTAAGATTAAAAGGAAGGCCAATTGGTCTTTCTTGAAATGGTTTTCAAAAATGCTTCAAAATTTTCAAAATTTTTTTCACTTTTCAATAGTTCGCGGAAAAAATTCTTCCAAAGTTTACCACTATCCTTAAAAAGTATAACGCAGACTTCAATAAGTGCAAGAATGAGTTAAAGAAGATCTTTGATCAGGGCATAGATAATGCTGCCAGGTTTCGTAAATACGGTCCAAGTCCATAGGCAGTATAAGGCGAGATGGTGGTACATGGCACATCTAAATGAAGATAAATAGCCCGGACGATTTTATCTCAGTTAGTCTATGGAAAATAAGTCTTAAAAAAAAATCACAATTATGGCTCTATTAGTCTTTCGAACATTTATTTTACAAATCCCCGATTATGGCTCCGACAATCCTTTTCCTTTACAAATATAAGCTCTAATCTATGCCTCTAATTGTCCATGAAAAGAATTCTTTCAAAATTCACGATTCTAGTTTTGTTGGTCCTAGGAAAAAAATTCTATGAGATTCTTTGACTGTCCTGAAAAAAACCCCACCCATTTTCATGGCTAGAAACTCTAAAAAAATAAAAAATCCACAATTACAGGTTGAGATGAAAAAACTGCAACCAACTTCAGACTGCTGTCATTTCTAAGTCACTCGTTCGACAGCTGTTAAAATTATTCCAGTGACAGCTCATTATATTGTTTACAAGCGTACAAAAGCATTTTGGTGAGAATTTTCAAGAAAACAAGTTATTCGTGATGGAATTCAAGCGTATTGGTGTGATTTCTTTACATTTGGCTGGAAAACCACAAGTGGCTATCTTTAGAGCACTCCAGCATTTAAATGTGAATAAATCTTTTGTGTCTCGTACCATCTCTCGTTACCGTGATACTGATAGCGTAGCCCGACCTCAAGGAAGTGGACGGAAGAAAACAGCAACATCAGCAGAAATGGTTCGAAAAGTAAAAAAGCGACTTGATCGAAACCCGCGTAGCAGTGGGCGAAAAATGACTCGGGAGCTGAATACATGGAAATATTACCTTCGGCAAATATTGTAAAATGTGCTCGGGGTAAAGCCATTGAAATTCGAAAAAGTGCAAGAACTTACACCGCAACAGAAAGAAAATAAAGTCAGAAGAGCTAAAGAGTTGCTTTGCTTGGCCGAAAGTGGTGAATTGCCGAAGCAATGAAAAAATATTCGTTGTCCAGCAGATTGTAAACAAACAAAAGGATCGTGTTTACTTGCCAAAGAAATCAGCTGAAAATGTGCACCTTCGGTTGGTGTTGGCCGCCATAACAGCCGATGGTCGCTCTCCGCTAGTTGCCGAATTTTATCGCGAAAATATTCTGGAGTGTGTATTAAAGCCTTAGACACGCAAACATTTTGGCCGCAGATCCAATGCCAATAGGACTCAGCGCCATCGCACTCAGCACGCGCCACCCAAGAATGGTTACAAAATGAGGTTCCTCGCTTCATTTCCAGCGCACAATGGCCACCAAAATCTCCGGATACCAATCCGTTGGACTATTGTGTCTGGAGTATTTTGGAAAGCAAGGTTGGCACTAAAAAATACCAATATGTCGATCACCTCAAGCAGGCGCTTCGCCGGAAATAGGCCAAAATACCATAGAGCAACATTCGGGCAGTGTGTGACGGTTTCATTTTCTGTTTGAAGGCCAAAATTCCGACATTTTTTGCTTTCTTTCAATAAAATATAAAAAAATGTAAAAATTATGGAGTTTGACTTTGTTGCAGTTTTTTTAACTCTCCCTGTAGAAACAATTCGATATTGGAAAATAAAAACAAATAGGAAAATGTACGATTGTTGCCCTAATAGTCCCTGATCATATCCCAGATATAGTACTTGGAAAAACTTCATAAATTATTCCATCATCGTAGTTCAATAGCCTTGGTAAACAATTATTTAAAAATTCACGCCAGAAGATTTACTGGCCTTATAGTTCTTATAAAAAATCTTCAAAAATCTCCACGATTCTAGTTCTGATGACCCTTGGAAAAAAATTATTTTAAATAAATCTTTAAAACTTCACAAAAATATGGTCTTTAAAAATCCCCAAATAAGTCTCCATGAATGATGTCGTTGAAAAAGTTCTTTAAAAATCTACAAGATTGGACAAATTTCTTTAAAATAAACAGAACTCGATTTTTTTAACTCCAAAAATATGTTCCTTAAAAAATTCCAAAAAGCGTTCTAAAAAATCCAAAATACTTCTTTTAATATCCAAAAATATTGTCTATGAAAAAGTTGTTATAATTCCCAATTGTTCGTAAAAAAAAATCTTAAAAAAATCGAGATAATCCTTTGAAAATCCAAAAACAAAGCAACGACAAAATCTTGGAACTCATTCTTCAAAAATTCACGATTTTCGCTCAGATAGTCAATTGTATAATTTCCCTTAGAAAATCTATATTTACAAGTTTGTTGATCACTGAAAAATATAATAATTGATCCCTCTAATAAACTTCTGAAAATATAATTTGAATAACTGGAAAATTGTTCGCCTTTTGTACCCTGATAAACTATCAACAATTGCCTATGTATAATTAATAATATTTCTTTTATTTTTCTTTCTTTGCAGAGGACGTAAACGTTTTGTCTCCGAAGGAGACGGTGGCCTTATTAAGCCTCCAACTCTTCCACTGCGTGACTAAATTCGTTATTTTCCATTTCTCCAATTTTACTACGTACATACATCCGAATATATTAAAATAACATTTTCAAAAAGGAATGCAAAAAACTAATAAATAACAACAACAAAAAAACCACGTAAATAAGATTCACAAAATATATATGACCACTTGAACTTTTCAACCTACCACCAGATCCACCCAAAACAATAAAGTAGCGGAAAAAACTAAAGGAAAAAAACTATCGAATATAACAAAGTAACGTCTAAATTTAAATGGATAAGAGACAACAACAAAACAAATGTTTATACTACACATGCGAAACAACAAACAAACAAAAGAAAACACTACGTATTATTAAAAATAAAAATATATATCGGATTATTACAAAAGAAACAAAAGTATAAGGGCTATTTTTAAGCCCCGCCACAACTTGTAACACATCTTGAAAGACTACAGGAAGGTGGAGAAGATAATACAAATCTCCCCAACCCAACCCAAAAAAAGAAAAAAAAAAACAACTAATGGAAAAAAAACTTGCCCCTGCAATGCAGGGCAATCAAAAAGGAGACAATGGAACAATTAAGCAAGTTGAGAATTTTTCATGTATGGAATGGATTATATAGCAGAGAAAGCAGAATTCGTCAAATATTCCTTCTATATAAATGCTACTACTCCAACCTTACCACCACCATCGTTATCATCATCACCAACCCATAACAACAGCAACAACCACATAAGAACTTATTATTATATAAAAAAAAGTAAAAAAAAAAACACAAAAAAATTGATCTCTTAAATGTTTTTTTGTTCATTATAATATTCCCACATCCCCAACCCCCCAACCCCCACCATCTATACTCTTCTCATACACACACACACATACCCACTCAACTATTTTATATCATGTTTAAACAAAATGCGTATATATGATACTATAACTTTTCTTAATTATTTTTTTAAACAAACCCCCCCTTACATTATAATAAAATATAACAATGAAATGAAGAAATAAATGAAAAAAAATAATGTGACATCCTAAAAGTATGCTTTGAAATTTGTAGATGTTTGCCGTTTAGATTAAAGAAACAGAGCAATTGCTCTTTGGGTTACTTTTTTTGTTTTGCAATATTTATAGAGGGAAATTAAGGCATTTTCTTCAGATATTGTAATAAATGAAGGAAGTACATTGTGAATACCGCTGCTGAAATGTGAAATATTTATATTAAAATTTGCCATATAAAAAAACCAAATGTAACAGAATATGCCAGCAAGTCTTGGGATATCAATCAAATAATATTCGGCTCTATTACGGTTGTCGTCGTTGCAATATGAAATCGAGGCGACAATTACGGTATTAGGGTTGTCGTTTTTTGTCGATAGCGATGAATGACTGCTATTATCATTGTCAATACAACAGTCGACGTGAAGTCGATTTTAGGGAATATCTGTCGCCGTAAAAAATTGTAACGACATAGTATTTTTTAGTCGATGTTGATATTTTAACCAGTTTGTAATTGATATTTGACCATGAAAATAACAACAGCAAAACAATTTAGAAATATTGAAGTCATTTCCGACACTGGTCTAATAAGATCCTAGCGCTAAAAACCTCAATGCTGTGGTCAATTGGAACAACTCTAGTTTAGTAAATACTGTTCGATTTTTCTTTTCGAAATTTTTTACAGAGGTAGATATTTTAACCCCGATTCCAGGAAACTTTTTGTGGGGGACGGACCCGGGACCCAGTTTTTGTGACTCGAAATCCACTTACCCGATATAGACGAAAATCGATCATTTGTCAGATAATTAATAAGCATTTGTACGATAGGTATTTTATAAGCGATAACTATATTGTCTATATTGGGTAAGGGGATCCGGGTCTAGCTCGGGTCTGAGCCCGGATTTCGGGTCAAAAATCGGGGGTCCCGGGTTCGTCACCCAAGAAAAAAATAGCTACCCGGAATCAGGGTAACAATGGCTAGCAATGGAAAGAGTTAAGAGTTGGCGAGTTAAGAGTTTGGCGAAATTTCTATTAGCACATGCTTAAAGCAGTCCTTGAACACCTTAAGTACATATTTTAATTAAAATATATATTAAAATATGTACCTACATGGAGTCAGGCAATGTAAATATGTTTGTTTGCTGCCTTAGCACTCGCCGTTGCAAACAATTATTTTATCTTTTTGTCAACAACAAAGAAGTGTTCCCAACTTTTTTAAACTGTCGATGTCGCATCTATGTCTTACCGTAATACCATTTTTGAAACGAAGGGATGGCGACTTGCACATAACGTCGACGACGACTATAGACACGACAACCGTAATTGGGCTGATTGTCATGAAAGGGAACAATATCCATTCTCAACACGGAAAGTCTTTAGAAATGAAAGATGAGATTTTGATAAACCTAGAAAGGTGGTTTTGAAATGAATTCATATTTGAACATCAAAACTCGATTTTTTGACATCTCAGAATGGAGTGAGAAAAATGAAAGTGAGAAGTAAATGTTTCGAATTGGACTGTTTAGTTTTCTAGAATTAGAATCGTTATTCAGATCAATATTTATAAAAAAATAACTAAATTTATTATAATATGTGACAAACTTTTTAGACTTTATGGCGTCTTATAAATCCGATGTTTATGTTTTAAATTATACAATACGGGACTGAATGATTGAAAACACTTGGAAGACAGTTTGAAAAAATTTCTGACATACATACAAGGTGAGATAAAAAAAAAACTGCAACAAAGTCAAACACCGTAACTTTTTATTTTTTTTATAGTATTGAATAAAAGCAAAAAGTATCGGAAATAGCATCAAATTTTAGAATGAGTTTAGATTTGTACGAATTGGTCCCACGCTGCCCGAATGTTGCTCTACGGTATTTTGGTCCATTCCTGGCGAAGCGCTTACTTGAGGTGATCGACACTTTGGTATTTTTTAGTGTCAATCTTGCTTTCCAAAATACTCCAGACACAATAGTCCAACGGATTGGTATCCGGAGATTTTGGTGGCCATTCTGGGCTGAAAATGAATTGAGGAACCTCATTTTGTAACCATTATTGGGTGTCGTGTGCTGAGTGTGATGGTGCTGAGTCCAGTTGGAATGTCCAAGGTCTGCAACCAAAATGTTTGAGCGCCCAAGGCTTTAATACACCCTTCAAAATATTTTCGCGATAATATTCGGCATTTATTCTGATGCCACGGTCGATTAATTCAGTTGACGTATTTGGCAAGTAAACACGATCACGCTTAAATTCCATCACGAATTACTTTTTTCTGGAATATTCTCACCAAAATGCTTTTATGCGCTTGTAAAGAATATAATGAGCTGTCACTGGAACAGCTGTCGGACGAGTGGCTTAGAAATGGCAGCAATCTGAAGTTGGTTGCAGTTTTTTCATATCACCCTGTATTTGGAATGACATACCAATAGTTTGATTTTAAAAACTCCGAATGTAACCAAGAAAAGTTTTATTCGAAGCTCATTGCATTACAGCATTTAAAGATACAGCCAATACTTGAGACCTAATGGCTGTCCTGGTTACGGAATTTTAAGTTCTACCAAATTAATTTATCAATTATTATTATCAATGAACCTTTTTGAAAACTCCTTGAAGATAAGTATTTGCTATGGTTCCCAATCGCAATAAGTTGCCTAATAAACATGCAATTTCTTAATTTGTATGCAGACCTCTCACATACATTCACACAGTGTTATTAGTGTAGTAATAACTAACTACTGCCTAAAAAATATTTGAATTACAATTTTCTTTATAGTTTTATAGCGTATACTAACAAACGTCAACACAATGAAATTGTCATCCATTTCATGGATTTTTTTTTCAAAAGGAACTATTCCTTTTATTATTTCTCTTTTTTAATATAGTATGTTAAAAAGAATAAATGTAGTTTTAAGAATCCACTTTTTATATACAAGTAAATGTACTATTATTATTACTGTCCCAAACACTACTATTACAAACCACACCTATGAAATATACAAATTGAAATCATGATATTTCATTTGAATAACTTTGTTTAATTTGTTTTTTTTTCTTCTCGTAAAGTCTTGAATTTGGATTTTCTGAAAGGAAATTATTACAAAATTTTAAAAGAAATTATACCCAAAAAAATATTATTGCACCAAGCAAGCAATTTTTTTCTGATCTTTTTTGTAATTATTAAAAATCCATTTTTCGTTTAATATCCCTTACAAATACTTACGTATGTTATCTTTACCATTTTTAATATTACTATTACAAATCATATACATTTTAATTTCCTTTGCATATAAAACTAGATCTACCAACTTCTACATCATCTCCCTCCCCCCATATTTGTAGTTCGTAAAAGAAGAAACCGCAAATGAAATTGTATGAAAACATAACAAAACACACAAGAGAAGAACAGAATTGTATGAGAAATGATAAGTTTAAAAAACTTGAAAAACAAAACAATTAATTATATTCAACATAAAACGAAAAGAAAGAAAAAAAAAAAACAATACAAAAAATAAACATATTTAAATATATATAAAAAATATTTTGAGTGTTTTATTTAAAATGGCGATATATGAACAAGTGCAGTCTAATTGGGATACCATTAAATAATTTAAAAATATGCAGTCAAAAACTAAAACACTTACCTTAAAGGCAAACCAAAACTCAAAATAAAGGGTCAATGAAATTGAAAATGGTACCGTTCGGAACCATCGTTTAAAATCAAGATTTCTTAGCATTCTATGTTATTTCAATAGTTTATCCTTATTCTGTTCTACATTCACGACAGATGCAACTTTAGGGACTCATATAGAATATAGAAAATGATATGCTCTAAAGAGTGTTAATAAAGAAGAGCTGACATGCGTCCTGAAAACAAAATCATAGAACAATTTGGGATTATTATTTTAAAAAATGTTACACTTCTATGATTATAATATACACGGTGAGATAAAAAAAACTGCAACAAAGTCAAACGCCATAATCTTTCTATTTTTTTTTTAATTCTAAAAATGTCGGAAATAGCATTTATTATTATTATGTTTAGATTTGTTCGAATTGCTCACCTATGGCACGAATTATGACCTCCAAACGGCCAATGAAACCGTCACACGCTGCCCGAATGTTGCTCTTCGGTATTTTGGCCCATTTCCAGCGAAGCGCTTGCTTGGGGTGATCGACACTTTGGTATTTTTTAGTGCCAACCTTGCTTTCCAAAATACTCCAGACACAATAGTCCAACGAATTGGTATCCGGAGATTTTGGTGGCCATTGTGCGCTGGAAATGAAGCGAGGAACCTCATTTTGTAACCATTCTTGGGTGGCGCGTGCTGAGTGCGATGGTGCTGGAGTCCAGTTGGTGCTGGAGTCCAGTTGGAATGTCCAAGGTCTACGGCCAAAATGTTTGCGTGCACCCTCCAAAATATATTCGCGATAATATTCATTATTTATTCTGATGCAACGGTTGATTAATACGGAGAGCGACCATCAGCTGTTATGGCGGCCCATACTGTCACCATGACCGGCGCTTGAGTTCTGGTTGCCAACCGAAGGTGTACATTTTAAGCTGACCTTTTTTGTTTATAAACAACGAATGTTTTCTCATCGGAGAAAACCAAATTCGGCAGTTCGCCGGCCAAACAAAGCAACCCTTTAGCAACCCTTTGAGTCTATATTCTTTCTGTTGCGGTGTAAGTTCTTGCACTTTTTGGAATTTCAATGGCTTTACCCCGAGCTCATTTTTAAATATTTGCCGAATGGAATATTTCGATATTTTCAGCTCATGAGCTATTTTTCGACACGGGTTTCGATTAAGTCGCTTCTTTACTTTTCGAACCATTTCTGCTGATGCTCCTGTTTTCTTCCATCCACTTCCTTGACGTCGGGCTATGCTACCAGTATCACGATAACGAGCGATGGTACGAGAAACAAAAGATTTATCCACATTAAAATGCTTTAGTGGTCTAATGGTAGCCACTTGTAGTTTTCCAGCCAAATATAAAGAAATCACACTATCACGCTTGAATTCCATCACGAAAAACTTTTTTTTCTGAAAAATTCTCACCGAAATGCTTTTGTACTCTTGTAAACAATATAATGTGCTGTCACTGGAATAATTTTAACAGCTGTCGAACGAGTGGCTTAGAAATGACAGCAGTCTGAAGTTGGTTGCAGTTTTTTCATCTCACCCTATATGTATCCTAACTATCTACTATATCAAAACCCGTTTTGCTATTTTAATTTCTATAAAATTTTTCATTATTTCTTAAAAAAAAAAACTTTAACGATACTATTTACTTTCAGTTCAGTAGTTTTCCTGTTCCCTTATGAAACTCTTTACAAATAGAAAGACTTGTATAAGGATTTTCAGTTGCAGTCTAGTATTCCTAAAAAATATTTACTATACAAAACCGAAATTTTGCATAAAACGCTTATTTTACAAAATGGGACTCTGAAATACTTGAAATTGAAATTCATAATGATCCACATTAAAATCTCTTTATTTTCATAATTTGTTTTGTATATTACATACATACATAAATACAATTTTTAATAGCCTCATTTTACATTTAACAACCATATTATCATTTTTATTAGTATTATTTTATAATTGTGGTTTTCTTATTAATATCAATCAATTTTTATGTTAATTTTCTAATTTTCAATTATATTTCCATACACCTTAAATGAGACGTTAGTAGAACTTTCAAGATATAAAAAATTTGGAAAGAAGAATTATTAACAAATGAAATTCTATTCGAGCTTGAGGTGGTGGTCAGCCTCATTTTCATTTTTTTTCCATTTTTCATTTTCTTTTTTCTTTTTTTGCATTTGAAAAAAAAGTTTTAGACATAATCAAACAACTTATTAAAATTCATTAACAATAATTAAATATTAATTTCACCATTTTATTATTATTTACAAAGAAAGCCTTCAAGAAGATTTTGTAAATGAGTATTTTGGTTAATTTCCTGGTTTATTTTTTATTATTCAACACCATTGAAAGTAACAAAATTGCCTTTTTGCAAAGTATTAGAAATTAATATTACCCTAATGAGAGACAAACAGTTTTCGAAAATGAATAATGTGTTTTAAAGGAAATTAGGAAGTTGTATGAGGTAAGTGCGAATTTTACCTTGGCCCTCTATGCAAAAACCTAGATTTTCTTTTCGGCAAACTTTACTCACAATAAAAAAATAACAGATATTACATTTTAAGGTGTATAGAAGATGTAATATTTTTTCAAATTTCATTCAAATCCTTAAGGATTTCATTTCCAATATTAAACTTTACCACAACATTTCTAAATTAACATTCATGTACTTATAAACTAAAAAATACTTTATTGTTACAAATTATAACTAAAAAATAAATATGTTTTTATTTAAACCAAAAAACGTTCAATTATAACATGTTCTATATTTCTTGATTGTGTTGATGATAAGCAAACAAGTCTTAATAGCGAAACATAAATTCTAATTAGCTGCATTATTTTCATTTTCTATATATATAATATTGAGATTTTTCCAAATACTTTTAGAGAAAAAAAGATTTCTTTAATAACAACGGCAAGCACATGTAAACATAAAGCTATACAAACACATAGATTTTAAAACATATAAACAATGATTATTTTTCTGGATTTTGGAGGAGAAGATTTTCAAATGTTTTCTTTTGTAGACATGTGATATTTATTCAAAACATCCAAATATAGAGCTGGAAATCTGCAACAAAAAAATGTAATTAGTAACAAATTAGTAAGTATTGTAATATTAAAGATTCCTCAACTACAGCAAGTAATAGTGGCAATTTAACACCCATGGTACATGAAATAAAGGTAACCTCATTTCAAATAAAAATTCTCAACTCTACATTTTCTGTAATTTACCTTTTCAAATTCCACTGTATATTTTTAAAATGCGTATTTAAGAACATAACAAATAAACAATTTCGATGACATTTACTTTTGACAACATCACATACCTATTCTCGTCTGATATATGTATGTTTGTTTAGATATATAGCATTTATTACTTGCACTCATTATAAAATGCAAACGTGCATATAGATTATATCCAAAATAATATATTCACACAGATGTTTACATTTTGCGATTTGGCACATGTTTGACTTTTATTCTGTCTACAAAAAAAACCAGCAATACATCATGTGTGTATTTAAATTGACATTTATGAAGACGTAGAACAGCTAGGAAAATGATGAAAAGCATTTGTGTTTCGTAAGAAAGTTTGGCGATATCACCGAAATTGAAAACTTACAACAAATGATTGTTGCTAGATCTTATAGTCAACAAGGGAAGGGTGTTTCATTTGAACTTATAATTTGGCCTATCAATCAAGTGGTTCAAATACAAAAAACTTGTAGGTTTTAAATTCATAAAATTCATAAAATGGGACTAACTGATTTGTGGTGTATAGTTAAGAGGAGGAAATTTTAAAACATTTTCAGAATACTAATTGGCATAATTTGAACCTATTTTATGAAAATTGTTGTTTTCTGCCTACAACGGTTTTGAGGGTCTTCTAGGTACTTGGGTGCTTGGAGCTCCACACATAACAAATAGACAAATTTTTACTTATCTCATGCTATTAATATAATTAGGTTTTCTAGTCATAGAGAACTAACTCCTGGGAGCCTTTCTTTCTGCCAGGTTAGGTTAAAAGATGAAATGTTGTCCTATGTGCAAAATACATTCGCCTAACATTAGACATTCGGCAAAGACTAAATGATAGATTCGATGCATTTTGTTGTATATTAGACCCAAGAGCTTGTCTAATATAATTATTGCAGGAATAAAGTGCGATTAAAACTGACCAGTGTATTATGCGAGATTTCTCTTCCACTATGTTAGCTTCTATTATTTTAGGAGACCTTAGTGGTCCAAAAAGAGCTCATTGATCATCAGAGCTCCCGTCATTAGCATCTGATTGTAGAAATTTCCCACTGACCATCAGAACACCGGTGAACAGATTTTCTAACTAAATTTTCGAATTCTTTGAGCACATATCACCCATGCCGTGCCCCAGGTGAGGGACGGAAACAGTCTCAATTCTCTCTCAAGTTTTGTAATACCTATTTATGACAAATCAAGCTTGGAGTTTTTGACAGAGGGAGCTCTTTCTCTCAAAGCGCTTCATTAGCTGTTTAGTGTTTTGGAAATAAGTGAGTGATTTCTCGCCATAGAATATTTGTGAAAGCTACTTCTTTTTTTTGCAGCAAAAATTCCAAGAATGGATGTTATAATAGCGATTGTGCACAAGTGAACTATTAGTCTTCCAAAAAGTTTCCAAGGCCAAATTAACCGTCGAGAAAATTTTGTAGGCATTACTACCAACATAGACAGGTATTATTGTTCTAATTTATATCTTGCTAATTATTATTCTATTACAATCTGAAGTTCCGGGGCTCAGCTGATTAGTTCCTCCGGGTAGCAAGACATTAGACTTTGAAGGTTTATCCCGCTGGGAAAGTATGACCATTTTTATATCCTTAGCCATGTGGCTACAGAGGGTATATATCATTTAATACGGCCAAAACGGTCCACTCCTTCTGGTACTTCTTCCACAAAAGGTCGAAATATTAGACTTGGCACATTTCAATATTTCTATCAACACAATATCTGTTATAAAGAGATCGGAACATTCCTTCTGGTACCCTCCCCCATATAGAGTTCAAGATTTTGAAAAACAAAGCGTTCAAAGAAAGCGAAATAAACATCCGTTTCTCTTCATATTTCACACATTCCGTTATTTCTAATAACACAAGATCTGCTGTGAAGGGGGATATATCGGTCTACTCTTTCTCCCCCAAAGGTCAAAATTTTGAATATCCATGAAGCTCATATAAAAGGAAATAACCATCCGATTCCATTCCAGACTTGGTACATCTCAATATTTTCATCAACATCAGATCTGTTATAAAGGTGGTAGGAATCGGAACATTCCTTCTGGTACCTCCCCCATAGAGATTAAGATTTTGAAAAACAAAACGCCAAAGAAAGCGAAATAAGCATCTTCAAATTTCACAAATTCCATTACTTCTACTAACACAAGATCTGCAGTACAGATTAAATATATCGGTCCACTTTTTTTACTTATTTCAATATTTTTTATGATATATGTACACTTACCTCATGGTGAATGCAATTGATCAGCAGAAGCACACACACACACGCCAAAAAACATTCAACATTCTACTCCTCCAACTTTAATGGACCTCAGTGGTTGTTGAATTTTTTCGCTGTGGAATTTCTTCACCTTTCGAATTCGTATCTTGCGGATTTGTGGGCTTATTTTTCTCTATATGCCTCTCCAGTTTGTCCAATAAATCAAAACCTGTCTTCCATCTTATTATCTCCGAACGCACCTTCAACTTCAGAGGATTTTTAGTTAAGGTCTTATCCATGGAGAACCCCTCACGGGGACAGGCAATGTCACGGGGCCGCAATTTAGTAACCGGGCAAATATCATTATTACCATCACCCACATAGATGACATGTTCATAGGTAAGATTATAGCGCAAATCTTGTTCAATAAGGAAATGTTCCAATACCTTGCCTTTGCATAGATTTGCCGAACTCAGACGACATTCGGTTTGATGGTGATACGGTTGTATGGTAAGCAAACCATTCGACTCAAATCGTGCAGGATTGGTGAAAACTTTTGTAAAACTATCACTTAGACCGTGGTATTTTAGCCACTCCTCTATGAAAATACTATTCGAATCGCTGATTATAATTAAATCGCAATCATATTTTGTTTTGAGCCTCTTGAGCATACGTACAAATCCCGGAACTTCTGGTATGGTTTGTATTGTCTGCAATATCTTTTCTGGTTTTATGTTCACTTCATGCAACCGCCGGAAAATCTCTGCCATATGCTCCGTCCATCCTTTGGCCTCGGCAATCTCCTGTAAATCTTTGGTCAACTTATTCGGCGGCAGGATATCACGCACTACAGTGTCGGTATTTTGAGCTACCACTGTATAGTCAAAGTCAAATGCTCCCAAATAGCGTTTAATCACTTTGGTTGCAGTTGAATTTGCCTGTCCACCAACACCACCTGATGCACTACTCAGTGCCAACATTGCTGCGGGTTTACTCATTTCGCTTTGTTCTCTGTTCGCCTGCTTTTTGTAATCAAATTGTAATTAAAATTGGAATTCCTTCTTGCGACACGAGAGATTACAAATAGACGATAGACAAATGGACACCTGTTTCGGATTGTTTTTGAATTTTCATGCAAAAACAAACCAATTTAGGGGATGCGAAATCGACTTTGCAAAAACAAATGCATTCACAACGAAATGGTGATCCAGCCCAGGCAAGAAAGAGAGGACAATAATGAGGTGATGCTGTTAATTTTAAAAACAAATTCATAGCGAGTTTAAAATTTGGATTTCTCCGAAACCAAACGTTTTAAAATTAAATTAAATATAATTAAAAAAATAGAAATGAGTATTTTAATCACAACTTCCTTCTAAGTAATCAAATTTGAAACACTCAAATTGTATACAGGATGAGATGAAAAAACTGCAACCAATTTCAGACTGCTGTCATTTCTAAGAAAATTGACTCAAAAGAATTATAGAGTTGTTTCGCTTGGACGAAAGTGGTGAATTGCCGAATTTGGTTTCCTCCGATGAGAAAACTTACGTTTTCCAACAGTTTGTAAACAAACAAAATGATCGTGTTTACTTGCCAAAGAGGTCAGCTGAAAATGTGCACCTACGTTTGGTCACCAGACCTCAAGCGCCGGCCATGGTGATGGTGTGGGCCGCATTAAGAGTCGATGGTCGCTCTCCGCTCGTATTAATCGACCGTAGCATCAGAATAAATGCCGAATATTATGGCGAAACTATTCTGGAGGGTGTATTAAAGCTTTGGACACGCAAATATTTTGGCCGCAGACCTTGGACATTCCAACAGGACTCAGCACCATCGCACTCTGCCCGCACCACCCAAGAATGGTTACAAAATAAGGTTCTCGCTTCATTTCCAGAGCACAATGGCCGCTAGATCTCCGGATACCTATCCGTTGGACTATTGCGTCTGGAGTATTTTGGAAGGCAAGGTTGGCACTAAAAAATACCAAAGTGTCGATAACCAAAAATGCTGCAGAGTAACATTCGGGCAGTGTGTGTCGGTTTGAGGGCCATAATTGGTGCCAAAGGTGACCAATTCGAACAAATCTAAACTTATTCTACAATTTGATGCTATTTTCGGCATTATTTGCTTTCATTCAATAAAATTAAAAATATGTAAAAAACTATGACATTTTACTTTGTTGCTGTTTTTTTTATTTCACCCTGTATTTACCCTTGTTAATTCATACTAATAGCGCATTTTGCCAATTCGCAGGTAATCCGCTCGTCTTACCGGTAGACCCAATAGATAGACCATGGAACTGGTTTTCATGTCACATCACCTAATTTTAAGTAAAAATCCATATTATTCCTGTTTGGTCCCCTCAACAACACTTAAATGCGAATTAGTGTTGTAAAACGTCGTTTGTTTTCTATCGGCAACAAATCGATTTTTAAACCCCTTGTTAAACGTCTTATTTGTTTTGATTCTTAATCTTTAGCTGTCATCTTAACACAAATGAACTCTTTCTTGACGGTACGGCTCCAACCAGGAAGACTTTAGGTCTATTTCCGAAGCGTGGAAAACTCTAAAAATCAAAAGGTAATTTTAAAATTAAGTTATTCCCATTAGTGGTATATTAACAAGATTTCTATTTTTAAGAATTAGGTATCAGCATCAAGGCTGTGTTCCATTAATAGAATAAATGTCTTCTATACACTTTTAAGTTTATATTGACCAGCATTGAACAGTTTCTTCCAGAAAAAAATAGTTGATATTAATGTTCCTCGAACGTCTATAGATCTTCCCATTTTGAGATTAATAAAATAATTGGCTAAGATGTGCGAAAATCCAAAGCAAAAACTTCGAGATACAGGTATTTTGAGTCGCGAAGATTTCGATGGAGGACCCATAAGTTTGGATGAAATTGAACCCGGATTATATCTGGGTAAGTGTGTAGGCTTATTAAACACTGCAGTTTACTTAATATTTCTTTTTTGAAATCCTAGGTAATTTAACAGCTGCCACCCATATGGAAACTTTGAGATCGTTTAATATTTCTTATATATTAACATTGGATTCAATACCATTGCCTCAGCATATTACGGAAGCCTCCTTTCTGACCACCAAGTATATACACAGTAAGTGTTTTTATTTCAACAATAGTGAAATATAGAGGCACCAATGATTGCTCCACATATACGTACTCATACACTAATGCGTGGGAAGATGTTTATTGTCAGCATGTCTTGTCAATTTTTGTGTGCAAATTTTCGAAATGCATACCGAACTTGTTTTGTTTAAAATCTTCCAAAATATGGTAACATGCTTGCGTAAACAATTAACAATTATTTATTGTCGGACGAGCCGACTATGAGATGTTCTATACGAGGAGTGTTATGAGCTACTAGGAAAATGATTCTGTTTCGTACCAGGTCTCAGCACTCCACAAGGTGTGGTTTATTCTTGAGACACTAAATACGAATACGATAATTTAAAAATGCTGATAAAGTTTAGTACATTTCTGTAGCTTTGAGTCTAAAGGGGATAAAGATATGGCGATGATTTTTTAACTGAATTGGAATACGGCACTGAAATCCGTTTATATTTTGAAGATCTCAATGCCCGAGTTGAATGTAGTTTGCTATGTTTTCCAGACAGAGATATTGAATCGTTGCCGAGTTAACTTAGTATATGAAAGGGCTTATTAGATCCAGTTGTTGTGGTTTTATTATAGCAGTTTATATAGACGTTTGAGTTCTACCTCCTTAAACTGCAACCACAAATCTTCTGTTAACTAGCGGTTATTGTTGTGCGTGTGAAAAGCTAAGTGGGCCGAAAGAGACTCTTTTCCTTTCTTTCAAAATAAGTCACTAAATTTCTATTCTTCCAAGCATAATATTTACGATAATGTTTTATTAATGTACATACTCTCTATTACCTCTAGTTGCCGACATGCCTAAAGAAGATATTTTACATCATTTGAATACTTGCTATGAATTTATTAATGAAGCTCTTACAACATCCCATAACATTTTAGTGCATTGGTAAGTGTAAAAAATCACAATTTATAATTTATTCAAGTATAATAATCTTACTTTCGATTGTTAGTTATTTTGGTGTAAGTCGCAGTTCATCGGCTGTTATTGCGTACATTATGAAACATCATAACATGGACTATGCATCGGCATATGATTTTGTAAAATCCAAGCGACGTTTTGTACAACCCAATGCTGGATTTGCTGCTCAGCTGAAGTTATGGCACCGCATGGGCTGTAATATTGATCCACACTATCAGAAGTATAAAATCTATCGTTTACGTTTGGCTGGAGATCAAGTGCGAAAAGGTAGAAATAATTAGTTTATGTTTTCTTTAAAAAAACAGACTATTTTATAATTTTCTTTTTATATTACAGCAAAAATTCTTCCACCAAATTTCAATGACCTCATAAAACCAGATCCAGCTATAACACAGGAAAATCCTGAACCCATTGTATATCGTTGTCGCAAATGTCGCCGTGTATTGGCATCAAAATCAAATATTTTACAACACATTCCCAAAAATATTTCTCTGGAAAAGACAACTGATGGTAATAATGGCAATCCGATGGTAATGACTCCAGAACAAACAACTGCAACTGGTGGTCCCCGGCTACTTGAGCAGATAGCCCAACAAATACGTAAAGTTTCGCTGGCATCGCCCACAGCTGGTGGAGAAGGGCCACAACAAAATATCACCTATTGTCAGAATATTTTATTTGTTGAACCCATTGCCTGGATGAAAAACATTGGCAGTAACACACAAGGCCGTTTGAATTGCCCCAAATGTGATCAAAAATTGGGAAATTATAGCTGGGTAAATGGTACGGGTATATGCATTTCATAGTTTTTTAATTGACATCGAAAATATTTTATAATAATTTCTATAATTTTCCTTTTTTGTAGGCTGTCAATGTCCCTGTGGCGAGGAAGTAACGCCAGCATTTTATATGATACCTTCCAAAGTTGAACTATCCAAGGCTGTTCAAAATGTACAAACAACTTTGTAAAAAAGTGCTCAATAGTTGTTTGATTCAAATTTGGAATTTATGTGTTTAAACATATTGTTGTTAAATGTATTTTTTATATTGATGTATTTAAATATGAAATCAAACCAAAATGCTTCCATATTGTTGTGGTTATAAAGTTAGAGTATCCTAAAATTAGAATTGTTTTCTAAGCAACAACAGCCATGTGTATACGAAATATTTTGCGGTTTTTTGTTGAAAAATATCAGCTTGTTGTGATAATTTATACATTTACATAGATAGTCATTTGGCCCATGATGGTTTACAAACTCCTTACGTCCTAATAAATATTAATTATAATTTTTAAAAAGTTCAAATTTCTGTACCTTGGATAACTACGATTTGACGTATAACTTAATAATTAAAGTAAATACCATGAAAATATCTCCATTTAAATTAATTTAAGTCTTTATTTATTTTATTTTTGTTTCCTGAATCATGTTGAACCAATCATTTGTGTATTGTAAAAATATACAAAATCAAAACAACTTCTCTCATAGCTTATGTATCCAAAGTTATCCACTTAAAAAATACTCAAATTAAAAGATTTATATAAATAACATTTTTATAATAAATGCAACCAAGTTATAATATGGTATCAGCTGCTTAAAGCAATAACAATATTTGAGTGTTTATTGTAACATTTTTTACAAATTACTCAAAAGAATTTGATGTTTCAACATAACTTGTATAAATGTGAATAAAAATCAAATTTTTTATTGAAATAAATCAAATATTATATGAATGTACTTAATAAAATATTAAAATTTGTGATTTAATAGTTAAATTTTGTCTTAATGCTAATGCATATTTGCCCATATTGTTTTATCTTATATGAAAAAAAGCAATAAATTATTTATGTAAAACTTATTGTTTTGTTTGGTTTGGGGAAAATTTTGACTACAATAGGGGCTATAATCAGAAATGTGTCGAGCTCTTCTCGGCTACATTTTCTACATAAATGTTATAGCAACCACAAGAGCTGATACACCCCGACTGTTTCAAACCTCGCAAACTGATGGACACCCTAAATAACCCTACAGTAATATGGGATGAATTTGAAGGAAGATACGATTGGTTTAATGAAAACACTCAAGTTTGGTAAAAGTCTTGGATTTCTTTGACATTTATTCCAGATGAAGGTATTTGTACACTGATTCCGAGGATGGACCCGGCTACTCGTATATTCGACCGGGTTTTATATTCGGCTTATGACAAATGGTCACATGATAAGGTTATTCAAAACGATTCCGTTGAACCCATTATGGGGTTTATAAAATAAATATCAAATTATAGCTGATCCTCAAACCTTCCTAAAATACAGCTAAATGTATCATTATCTTTAACTTTCCTGAGCCAAGAGATATTAGTCTATACATAAATTCGAGAATCAATGTTTCCTAAATTTAATACTCTCTCAAATGAGGGGTTTTTGACCTGGGCTTGGAATTTTTTCCTTCGGGTATGCCCAAAACCAGCTATGCTATCAAAGTTCATCGAAATTTGACACTTCTTTTAAGTATGGGCTTGAGAATTTCTCCTTTGGGTGTGTCCAACCTCAGCTACGCGAATTATCATCATTTTTGAAATAACTCCGAGCTATTTTTAATAAGTCCATCATATGAAAACTTGATGGGGGTTTATTATACCCTCAGCCATATGTCTAGAGAGGGTATATATCATTTGATAGGTCAATACGTGCCAGGATCAAGAGATATTAGTCTATACTTTAATTCGAGAACCAATGTTTCCTAGATTTGATACTTTCTTAAGTAGCGTGCTTCTGGTCAGGACTTGGATTTTTTTCCTCTGGCTACGCCTTAAATCGTTCTTCTTATTTGGATCCAACACCAACTATGCTATCAACAATTCTCTAAATTTGACACTTCTTCTAAGTATGGGCTTGAGAATTTCTCCACTGGGCGTGTCCAACACCAGATACGCGAAATAAAGTTGAGGGTTTTATAAAAAACCCAGGTGAAAAATCGATATTTTTTAAATAACTCCGAACTATTTTTAATAAGCCCATCATATGACAACTAGATGGGAGTTATTATACCCTCAGCCATGTGGCTAGAGAGGGTATATATCATTTGATACGGCCAAAACGTGACGGTTTTAGACCCTAGGTCTCTTTGGACCAACTCCGTTTCAGGAAATTTGGAGTCGATCTAGCGATGTCCGTCCGCCTGTGTTGCTGGAGTTCGGAGACGGGTAATATCGGTCCACTCCTTCTGGTATCTTCCACACAAAATGTCAACATTTTCAAAGAAAATAATTTACTGCACAGTAAGAGAAAGGATAAACCGATTTTGCTCCAACTTTGCAAATCCTAATATTTGCATCAATGCTAGGTCAAATGCGGAAAAGGACAACTCAAGGTCAGGTGTAAAGATGGGATATATCGCTCTACTCCTTCTGGTGCCTTCCCCACAAAGAGTCTATATTTTGAGTATCCATGAACTCATAAAACGTGATATTATCCATTCAGACTTGGTATTATGTTTCCATCCACACAAGATCTGTTATAAATATGTTAGCGTTCGGACCATTTCTTCTGGTACATCCCCCAAATAGGATTCAAGATTTTGAAAAACAAAATGCTTAATATCCAATTCCGGGTATCGTTATTAATACCCCTTCAACTGAAAACTAAATAACGAGTTTTACCAAAAGGCGTAATTTGAATTGACGTATTAGCAATGAAATTGACAATTTAATTACGTATTTAATAACCCTGTAAAAGCATTGATGTAAACATGTTATTTATATATAATGTTTTTTTAAATGTTTTTTTTTTTCAAAACTAAGTAGATATTTAAAAGTTGATGTCGAATGATATCCATTTTCAACAATTTTTACAAATTTCAATAATTTTTCATTCAACATTTTCAATTCCAAAATCGGTTTGACAGTTTATTGTCCCAGCAGCAGCGTCGGTATGACTATTAATTTACTGACTATTAATATAAATAGATGTCTTTTAAATACCAACAATTTATTTATTATACATTGTATAAAACGGTCACCACATCTACCAAAAATTGGCGCAAACTTACCGCTATATACTCTGTTAAGATATGATTATCAGTTGCGGTTACTTGTTATTCAACTATGGCTACTCTAACTAGAAACATATGATTGCTGTCAGCATTTGATGAGAAGCAAAATGGTGCATCTAACAAATGTTTTCTTATGAGAAGAAAATAATAAATATAAAAATAATGTCTTATTGTTTGCTTTTTATTACTTACCAAGCTATACTTTATAAATGTTCGATTCTAGAATATGAATGTCTTTTTTGCTACTTTTACAATTTATTAACAATTTTGTTGTCTCGTATAGGAGCTCCACAATATTTTGAAGTTGATTAGTTAGCTCTTTTTGCCTTGTGCTTGTGCAAACATATTTTTCTTGGGAGAGTTTCCACTCACATGTTATTCTCATGTCAATGTTGACAGTTTGTTGTTGAGAGTTGGTGAGCGAAAAATAAAAAAAATTGTTGGTGGGGCGGATAAAAGTTGAGGTTGGATGAATAAAAAAGTGAAATATTGAAAGAAAATGATAAAACAAATACCAAAGGAATAAAAAAATACCAATAAATGTGTAAATAAAAACGTGTATGAATCGATTGTTACAAGTTATTAAGTGCTACGGGATTATAAGACAACAAATACAACAACCTATGGTTATATGAATGTGATTTTCTTGTCACATAATCGGCGAATACGGCCCTTTTAATAGGTACTTTGGGGCTTATTGTTTGGAGTCTCCTGGCAATCGATCATCAAATCAATCGGTCGTCTGTTTATTTGGATTAAAGTTTCAAAGGTAGGTATTGTATTGTTCTTCAAAATAATAGTTTGTTGACTGCGTTTGCAAAAAAAACAAATAATAGGTTCTTATCATAATTTGTTTTTGCTAGATTTGCAAATGGACTTATCAGTGAAAAATGGCATTTTTATCAACACAAAACACTATAAAAATTAAAACATATAAACAAATGAAATTACACATTTAATTGTGTTCAAATTCTTTCGATTTGCCAGGAATATCAGGAAATTGATTATGGAAAAATGCAACAGTCTCTTAGTTTTTCTTCGCTCTGCTGTCAAATCCATGCCAAGTGATGTAACTGCAAAGCGGATATTATTACTGATTGATTGAAAAAGTGCCAATATGTAAACAAATGTTAATTGAAACTATGCCCATCTGGTTGCCGTTGGCAACCGTTGTCTAATATTTCAAGTTAACTCCCAACTTCGTGTGCAAATCTGTTAATATATTTATGTGGAATGGCAAATGAATCCACTGCAATCATCAACGACAGATGATTATGTACGCCCCATTTTTGTTGAGTTTTTTTATACTGTTTGCGTTTTCCCCAGTTGACTACAACAGGTTGCTGTCGCTGCATTGTTCGACTGAATTCCCCCTCCCTTCTTTTTAACTCTTTCATCCAGTCTTTGCGATCTTAGCGACCACATTGATTTAAATGAATATCACAGACGTCAACAAAACATTAAATTAAATTGCTCAATCAACATTTAAAACATACAATATGCTGGCTTGTGTGCGTTTATGACAGACTTATTCTGTGTCCAGAATTGCAATTTCACCGTGAATAGCAAATACGCAATGTATGTATGTTTGTGTATGATTATTTATATATATACTATATAACAGATGTTATTTATTTCTCAAATTTTAGTTATTCTAACAACATAATATTTTTACGTTACGACTTTAAATGTTTGCAGATAGTATATAAATGGGAGATAAGTGTAAAGAAACACTACTTAATTCCGGAATTAGAAGTGTGGATGTGACATAATTGTCGTAGTCATTTGCAAAGGAATGCGAATCAATTTAAGTACACTTGTACTCAATATGTTAATGAAATCCACATTGAATTTAACAATTTTGAAAAAAAAGTTGTGAGGGATGAATGAAAGGAGGACTAGGCCAACAATATATTAACCTATACCAACTATATAGAGTATTTTAACGGAATGCTTTCGAGTATAAACTAGCCGTCAAAACCTGCAAAAATTAATGACATTCAATTATAGAATATGAATAAAACTTCAAAATACCAATTATTGGTATCTTCCGTTAATGGGGGAACAATTTCAAAAATTGAACATTCGCTAAGATTTCTGTGCGAGGTTGTGTTCTACCCTTTAAAAAAAAGACAAGTAAAAAAGGCGGTAAGTTCGGCCGGGCCGAGCTTTGAATATCCTCGTTCGGAAGCTAAATCGCTAAATCGGCATGAAATTTTAAGCTGATCAAGAATATTTATTTTAATTTTATTGAATAAAAGAAAAAATGTCGGAAATAGCATCAGATTTTAGAATAAGTTTAGATTTTTGAATTGGTTACGAATTATGACCTTCAAATGGCCAATGAATGTTCCTCTGCGGTATTTCGGAATAATAATTTTAGACCTAACAAAGTACATTCAGGGTAAGATAAAAAAACTTCAACAAAGTCAAACGCCAACATTTTTACATTTTTTAAATTTTATTGAATGAAAGTAAAAAATGTCGGAAATAGCATCAAATTTTAGAATAAGTTTAGATTTTTTGAATTGGTCACCTTTGGCACGAATTATGGCCTTCACACGGCTCTGCTCTGCTCTGCTCTGCGGTATTTTGGCCCATTCCCGGTGAAACGCTTGCTTGAAGTGATCAACACTTTAGTATTTTTTAGTGCCAACCTTGCTTTCCAAAATACTTCAGAAACAATAGTCCAACGGTTCGGTATCCGGAGATTTTGGTGGCCATTGGCCGCTGAAAATGAAGCGAGGAACCTCATTTTGTAACCATTCTTGGGTAGCGGGTGCCGAGTTCGATGGTGCTGGTCATGTTAAAATGTACAAGGTCTGTGGCCAAAATTTGCGTGCCCAAGTCTTTAATACACCCTCCAGAATATTTTCGCGATAATATTCGGAATTTATTCTGATACCACGGTCGATTAATACGAGCGGAGAGCGACCATCGGCTGTTATGGCGGCCCAGGTCATCACCATGAACGGCACTTGAGTTCTGGTGGCCAACCCAAGGTGCACATTTTCAGCTGACCTCTTTGGCAAGTAAATACAATCATTTTGTTTGTTTACAAACTGCTGGACAACGAATGTTTTCTCATCGGAGAAAACCAAATTCGGCAGTCCACCACTTTCGACCAAGCGAAACAACTCTTTAGCTCTTCTGAGTCTATTTTCTTTTTGTTGCGGTGTAATTTCTTGCACTTTTTGGAATTTCAATGAGCTCGGTCATTTTTCAATATTTGCCGAATGAAATATTGCGATATGTTTAGCACACGAGCAATTTTTCGGCAACTGCAACGTTGGTTTCGATGAAGTCGCTTCTTTACTTTCAGAACCATTTCTGCTGATGTTGCTGTTTTCTTCCGTCCACTTCCACTTCCTTGATGTCGGGCTACGCTGCTAGTATCACGGTAACGAGCGATGGTATGAGACACAAAAGATTTATTCACATTCAAATGCTGGAGTGCTCTAACGATAGCCACTTGTGTTTTTCCAGCCAAATGTAAAGAAATCACACCATCACGCTTGAATTCCATCACGAATAATTTTTTTTCCTGGAAAATTCTCACTAATAAGCTTTTGTACGCTTGTAAGCAATATAATGAGCTGTCACTGGAATAATTTTAACAGCTGTCGGCCGAGTGGCTTAGCAGTTTGAATTTGGTTGCATTCACCCTGTATATTTCGAGGGTTACAAACGGAATGACAAACTTAATATACCTTCCATACTATGGTGGAGGGTATATGAACAAATCACAGTAATGTGGAAAGTAGCGGCATGACTTTTAAAAGAATCCGGTATTGCTTTGCATTGTTAACTTACCTTTATCACATATCCACCAAGATATGCATATCAACTTTTGTTTCTACATACATATGTATGTACAAATGAAATAAAAAACTTAACATACCCTCCGTCATCTTGTCATTAAAACAATTCCAACAATTTACATTCATTCATCTCATAAAAAACGTGATTATAAGTAGTTCACAGTACGACAATTCACATGCTTTTTTCTCTACCCGAGAAATTGATCATGTACTTGCAGTAGATAAGATCAGAGAGAACCTAGTATACATTCATTGAAACTGCTCTGATTGAAAAAAGTGAAAACAAATCAAATGAGATATGGATTTAATTAGGGTATATTAAAATAGTGCACAAGCTTACATTATTACATTACTACTTCCTTCCTAGACAAGTTACGATCTGAAGCACTCAATATGGTTGCTGTTTGATAACATGCAATATTTTTACATTAGATTTCTAGATTTAGAACATAGGATCCAATTTAAATTTTAAGCCATCTAATGTATTTTTACAAATATCAATAAAATATTTCCCAGAATCCCATGCATATTAAGAATATATTGTTTATTAACGCTTCACTCAACCCCTCATTCACGACCACTAAGTAATTGCTGGAATTTCTAAGCACAGCTTGCAAAAACAGAAATTATCTAATAATGTTTCCACCATGTCATTTCAAAATAAAAAAACAACCTGTTTTTACCCAAAAACAAAAAATAGTTGCTATAAACTTTTTCAGGTTTAAGCTTTGGCTTTTTGTTTTCAAAACGTAACTTTTGTTTTTAACCTTTCAAAAGCTTTTAACTACATGCAACATAAGCACGATTTCGTATTGATTAGCAAACAATTGATTGAGCTCGAGAAAAAATGTTAGATGGAGGGCAGATAACCTTTTGGCCATGTTAGCCGTAGAAAATATTTATATTTAAATAAAAGCAAAGGCTTGCCTTTTACATTCTCATATTTGCAGTTCATTTAGTAAAAAGTGTTCCGGTTGAAGATCCTGCAGAAATTGCATGTTAATCTAGAATCGAATAAGGCTGATAGTTCAAAGAGTTTGGCATACATAACGTACTCAGAAATGTCAGGGTTTATATGTTAAGCACATAACCTTCAGAATCTTTATATAACCTTTGGTCATTAGCCGTATAAAATATTTATATTTAAATAAAAGCAAAGGCTTGCCTTTTATATTCTCATATTTGCCGTTCATTTAGTAAACAGTGTTCCGGTTGAAGATCGTGCATAAATAGCATGTTCTTTATAGGATCGAAGAAGACTGGAAAGAGTTTGGCATATATAACGTACTCTATAATGTCAGGAAGTAGATGTTAAGCATATAACCTTGGGAATCTTCATATTTCTCTCCACAAGTGCGAAGTTTACCTGAACAAAATGGCCTTAAGACCGGACTCACGAAAAGGACGGGAAGATTGGGAGGCGACAATGTTAGAACTCTGAAACAAGCAATCCGCCAAATTATTTTGAATATAGGATGTTATGGCTGGAATGTTAATTCAGAGCCAGTACAGTATCTGACCTCTGTCTGACGAGGAAGCGGAAGTTGACTCCTAAGAAATTTAAACCGATTTTTTCGGTAAAGACAGACAAAACAATGCTCTCATGGCAAGAGGAAGTTGACGTAGGAGGACAGAGCTTCGTCGCCATTTAAAAAAGGAAGTGCCTCTGAGTTCTCCCGACACCTAAATCGCTAAATCCAAGGAGTCAAGAGATAAAAGGCATTTCAGTGAGCTGTAAACTACTGTAGTCGATGGGGATCCATTAAAGCACATTGATAAGGAACTGCAGCTTATCAGAACGAACCTGAAGTTCGTTAGGAAGTTTAAGAGGACATACCCTAATAAAACACCAAGTAACTCTCTATAAGTAGGGTTCCCATATTCAGAACAGTGGTGAAACCAGGCGAGGCCCCAAAAAGTCGACGACAACGTCATATCCCTTTCCATC